TTTTTTATGAATAAGGCGAACACCAAAAGGAAATATGAAAAATCGCGCCGACAAAAGTTTCCGTGTATAAATACAGACTTAGGATTATGTGAATTTCCCATTATTTTCTTGCTCTGCACTAGGGATTTTAGTTACAAAAATACATCGATGTATTTCTTTAATTCGATGCATCGAAATGTATCGATTTTCATATGATTTCTCAGATATTACTTCACAACAAAATATTTTATTAGAAAAATTGTAAAAAATTTCAAATTAGTTACCGCAATTAAGCTAATTATGTTTCTAACGGAACCTTTTGGAACCATTTCGATTTTTTGATCAAACTCACTTCCCTTTTTTGCACAACTGAAAAAATGAAATGTGAGGTTCAATGAACCAGAGATGTCAGTTTTCAAAAAACATCGATACATCGACTATTTATTCATCGAGTGGAAAAAAGCTTCCGTTCGATGTTTACCCGATGTTTTAATTTCTAATCTACTACATGAAATAAAATGTGCCCGATGTATTTTCTAAACTCGAAAGAACTAAATTCACATATTCATTACAAAATTTAAGTAAATATATAATATAGCAACTATGTAACCACGAAGTTCTTAAAAATCATAATTTACTTATCCCAGCCGTAAAGGAATTTAAAAAAGAAAATACATTTTTTCAATTGAATAATGCATATTTAAATATACACTGTCCATCAAAAGTGGGTGCATTGTGTTTTTTGTTAAATGTTTGCAATATTTTTCATATAAAAATGTTTATTTGTTTCTAAGAATATGGTCCATGCTTAAATCAAAACCACATAATTAAAATTTACAAACTTTATACAGAATTTACAAAAATTCAAGACTTTTTCATCTTAGTTTTGAACTTTTTAATCTGAATCTTTAGAAAAAGCGGTTATGTAATTCTAGCAAAACAAGTGCAAGTTTTAAGTGGCTAAAATATCGCTTTGATGTTTAATGATTTTTTTGCTGACGGAATTTTACGCTCGTTCGGCAGAGTACGAACGGAATGAATGAACGATGTCATTGTTGTTCACTTTTCCAGTCGACGATGTATCGTCTAGCAAAACATCGATGTTAACATCGATGCATTGTTGGCATTCCTATTTATGAGTTGTTTTTGTTTCCCTTGAGTACGATAAAGTGAAGCGCAAAAATTAGTTGATTGCAGAAAAATATTCATCACGAAGCTATAAACAAAGAAAATAAGATTTTAATCAGTGAATATGCAAGAAACATAAAATACGCTATGAAATAGTGGTATTCTATTTTTCAGAGAGTGATTTGCTAAAATGCAAACGACTAGCAAGTGAGGAGCAGCTTGTGTTTTGAATGTGGAGAACTTTCACAAATCACATGAAACCACAACATCAAAGGGGCTTCATTCAACTCAGTTTGTGCTTGCGATTCGGCTGCGGTTGAAGCAGAAACTCTGTATTCCTTGGTGGCATTTAAACCCGCTAACGAAAACAATTGACGAAGTACACGTTTACAAGGGGCAAGAACGCCGCTACGAAGATTCGCCAGTAACAAGTACGACTACATCGACGAAGTGTAGGCGCAATTGGGCACGATTCACTGTGCATCAAAGTTTAAATATATATTAACGCCAAAAAGAAGGGCAATATTACGGTGTTCAAGTGCACAAACAGAAAATCGAATACCAGTGACTAATCGAAGTCATTTGATGACGAGTGTGCGAAATTAGTTACTGACCTTAACGCGTTATAATATATTACTTTTAACAAAATCGAAACAAAAGATGCATTCTGACGAAGAGAGCTTGTATGACCCTGAAGATGCTGACACATCCACCCAGGTGCTAGATGCAGCCGTGGTCGGTGTGGGGAGTATTGACGGCACACCGTCTACCGAAACCGCATATAGCAGTAATCAAAGTGACGATATAGCCAGCAAAGAGGGAGTACCTGTAGAGTCTGCTGATACGGATATCAACGCATCATCCAAACGACGCTGGTTCATCTTGGAACCCGCAGTGTTTTTGGTTTTTCTCGCAATGTATTTGTCAGGTAATTTACAAATATATAATTGATATTCGTATTCTCTATTGAAGTATAACTTAATTTTTATTTAAGGGGCGGTTTATCAAAACCAAGTTTTATATCAGACATGCGTGGCGATATACAAATACAATGAAAGCGACTGCCAACCGCTTTTGGGTGTCAGCAGGGAGACGAAAGAAGCACAGGTAGGTTAACTGATTTTTCCCCTTTTTTCCCTAGAAGTACTACATACTTGTTGTATGCAAACCAAAAGCAGTTTACATGGTTTGGAAGGAAAACACCAGGAAGGAAAACACCAGGCTAAGGGAACTACATTGCGTAATACCATGGGACTTCGTCAATCCAAAAGCTTAATGGAAGAGTACAATCTGAAAAGATAAAGGATACCCACAGTCCTCCCTAAGAATAAACTTAGAATCATTGCAAGTATTTTACAGGCCATTATAGGTTAAAAGGTCACTTGTATAATTTAAGAATCTGATCTAGTCACTTTTGTGACGCTGCCAAGGAGATCCCATTACACCTCCTGCTGGAGGTCGTCGCACGTAGAGGAGCATATGGCATTTATGGCCAAGAGAGAAGCACATACACTCTCTACCTCCCGGGATCTATTCTGAAATTTCTAGAGTCTCTAGGGCTAGTTGAAGTGTTGTGATGAGCTGAGGGCACAATAGACCTGCTGGTCGCAGTGGTTTAATCAACTATCTATCCACTTTTGAATTCCTTTATTCAGAAATATTTTAATAATATTTTGTTAAGCATTGGTATTGATTATATTTCGTACTCTATCTAAATATTTAATAGATACATAGAAAGATCCAAAGTCAGTGTTATACCAAAGTCAGTAGGTTACACACTAAGGACCTAATAAAATTTTAAAACAACTAAATCAATAAATTGCTTTTAAATTTTTATTAAAACCCGTTCTTGGGAGTTTTGATTTTTTTTTTTGTTTTGATTTTTATAAAGTTTTACAAAGTAGTTTGTAAACAAACAAAAATACATATTAGAGCGGGACTATTAAGGTACACCTTAAAAATAAAATAAATATAAATATAAAGATATAAACAATATAAACAAATATACGTACATATATGTTATGCGGGAAATATTTGAAGCTGTTAGAATCATAAGGGTCTAAGTGAAATTGTTTGAAAATATAAGTTGTACCCATATTTGTATAGTTAAATATAGTGTTTATGTGGTGACAAAGAGTAACATTCATTTAAAAAAATTTCAGAACTACTTAGATCCTTTTGATTCTAACGCCTTCATTTATGACAATGTACACATATATTTCTGTGTTCGTATGGAACAGTAGCTTATGTTAAAAGGCAGGCTTTAGTATAATGCGGCATTCGCAGCATACGATTGCGAATGACTCACTGGCGCTGAGGCGTTGAAGAACTTTTGGCAAATAAACGTGCAGAAATAGTTCGGATACTAGCAAGTCAAAATTCTTATTAAGTCGCATCGAAAAATTCCTTGTCGCTTAAAGAATAACGAGAATGTCGCATTATACTAAAGCCAGCTTCTCGACTTAAGCTTCTATTCCATACGAACACAGATTTATAGGCATATGTACATATGTGTTATGCGGGAAATATTTATGAAAATGTACACATATATTTATAGGCATATGTACATATCTCTTTGTGTTAATCTGGTTATATTATTTTCTTTAAAATAAAAAAATAATCAGGGTGTAGACACATTTAGCTACTTATCGCTACTAAAACTGTTTACTATTTAAACAATAGAAACTAAAGCCAATGCATAAATGTAGATTATTTTTTTAATTAGGCGCGATGATGCATTAAATGCGTTTTTTAATATAATTTCCAACTTTTGTGTGTGCCTATGACGCTCGTTCCATATTGGCTGCACTTCACGTGTTGATTGGACTTTTGTGTGAAATCGGCCAGCGGCGACTACATTGAATGTATAAGTTGTGTGTAAACATATGTATGTCATGTCAAAATTCAAAACAAAAATCATAAGAATAAGTAAAAGAATAATACAAAACTCGTTTGCAATTATGCATCGGAGTAGATTCCAGTCATTGCTTAAAGATACAAAAATTTGGATTGCTTTGTTTTATTTCAGTAAATTCGTATTCGTACATATTTTGAGTTCACGTATTTGGAATTTTTATAATAAATAATACTAAATAATTCCCTATTGTATAATCTTCACATCTACACATCTTTTTTCTTATAGGAAATTGAAACTCGCGTACAACCATATGTTGCGCGTATTCTAATGGCTCGCTCGCTGTTGGAGAGTATCATACCGGCATTTGTCAGTTTATTTGTTGGTCCATGGTCAGACAAATTTGGTCGTCGCCCCATCATCCTCGCCACCTACACAGGCAAGTTCAACTTTACTTAAATACAGGCACCCTTTCTTATTTAAGTAGTTATTCGTTTAAGTAGTGACTGCAATGTGCATATGGCGTTGTACAAAGTGCCTTATCAAAAAATTAAGCACTTACTTACAAATGTAAATGAATATTATACACATATATACATTCAATAGCTGTGATGACAAACTGATCTGAGCGTATAAATTCAAAATAGTGTCAGTTTTACTCTGTAACCTTCAGGCTAACTAGGTTGAAATATTGTAAACTATTTAAGAACAATTATAAAGTCAATTAAATTATTGAATGATGGATCTGTGTCGATTATTAATATTTTGAACGTCAATAAGAGCACTAAACCTTTATGTACCGCGCTCATAATTAATCAAATCCTATGACAAATTCGCACGTAGATACATAGTAAATTTGTTGGCAGTATTTGAGCCGTTTATTTTGAAAGTGGCATGAGTCCCTTTGTTTTCAAATCGATATACATACATACATGTGAGGGTTGCGTTTTAGCACGTTTCAAAATATGGATGCTAACTTTCGAAAAGATTTACTTGTATTTGTTATCTTAGGATACCTATATTTTACTAAGTTTATTTTACTTGCAACATAAAGAGTTTAGAAAAATTACTGACTTATATCAATTTAGTCCAATGTATTTTACTGAAGCAATATTTTCAAAGGACACTCATTTACTAAAATTGATGAATAAATTATATACATATGTACATATGTATTTATATAATAGTTTTAGAATCTTATTACTATAAACGAGGATTTCTTGTATATATGCATATAAATATACATATCGTCGTTTAAAGTACAAAACTTCGTATCAACAAAATACAGGATCTCGTATCAAATTAGAAAGTATTTTCATTAATTTCTATACAAACTGATTTTAAAATGTCAGGTCATGACATATGTATTTTAATGTTTTTGCGATCGCTGAGTACAATCTGAAGTCCGATTTTCAAATTTCCAAACTGCGGGTCCAATATGGCCAACGCATTTTTAAAACTTCCTTGTATTCGCGGTGACTTATGCCACTTTCAAAATAATCATCTAATTTACTAACCAAAAAACTAAACATAAGATACATTTAGGGGATTCACAAGACGTGTTAACCGTCGTAAAATCTTAAGGTTAACATCTTTTTTAATTAAAATGGTTTTAGGGGATTTCTAACTAAACCGAAATTCTTTTAAACTGATAAAGAATATATAATTAGCCAACCCCCCAACCATTTTAACCGCTATTTTACATAAACAAGTGTTAAGCTTAAGATTTTACGACGGTTAACACGTCTTGTGAATCCCCTAATTGAAATAATACCTTTTTTTTGTTACTAATAATCTATTATCTTATTTAGGCTACCTCACTGGATGTATTATACTAACGATTCTAGCTTTTATTGCAACCAAAGTTATAATTAGTCCCTGGCTATTTCTACTATCCTCTGTACCCTCGGTGCTTAGTGGTGGTACTTGCGCGCTCATCACCGGTATTTATTGCTACATATCAGATGTGGCCAAAGAGAAGGCGCGTGCAGTGCGGTAAGATCAAAATTATCATTCATATCTGTACATACATACATACGACGAATGGATTATTCAAATACATATGTAAATGAAATGTTATTTTTGCCTGTCCACAGCATGGTGATGAATGAGGCTTCTTTGTTAGCCGGCATGACGGCTGGCAATTTGCTTAGCAGTTATATTTATGCAGCAACAAATGTAGTAACAGTCTTTGGCATATCGGCACTGCTGATGTTGCTAGCCTTATTATATGTGTTCATATTTGTTATGGAAAGTCTGCGGCCTGATCAAATACATACAGGAGTAAGTTAACGAGAGACAATTGAATATTGTTAAACTCGTAACACTTTAATTAACCCAAATTTATAGTCCAAAATACGCGAATTCTTTCGCTTCGATCTGGTGAAGGATTTGGTGCATACTTGCTTCGAACGAAGGCCCAGCTTTGATCGCGCTATCATTTGGTTAACTATGATAACGTTAACGATTGCTTTATTCACCATGGGTAAGCATACATATGTACATATGGGCATATGTACATGCATATGAGTGCATTCCAATTTAAAGCCTTAATTTCGCTCGTTACTTCTTACATTTTCCAGAGGGTGACAGCAATGTAACATACCTCTTTTTCCGTGCGAAATTCGAGTGGACCCTAAAGGACTACACGCTTTTTAATGCTGCGCGCATTATTGTACAAATATTTGGCAGCATTTTCGGTATAATTTTATTGCGAAAGGTGAACTTTCTTTGTACCCAACAGACCTTGCATTTTCACATATTGGTTCCCAACAGGTTTTCAAATTTTCAATTGTCTCCATGACAATGCTCTCATTGGCTTGCTGCGTGTTGGAGAGCACAGTACGCGCCACTGCAGTGTATTGGTGGGAGCTGTATTTGGGTATGGTACTCGGTGGCATGCGTGGAATAATGGGACCAATGGCGCGGGCCATACTATCACATGTGGCACCACCAACGGAAGTCGGTAAGAGTATTACCTAAAATAAACACTACTTGTGCTTACATACTTTTATCTTACATCAATTTATCAAAATATAGGAAAAATATTCGCATTCACTACTTCATTGGAATCTCTGTCACCGCTTGGTGCTGCTCCACTCTATACGATCGTATACGACGCGACGCTAGAGTTTTATCCGGGTCTATTTAATTTCATCAGCGCTGCGCTATATTTACTTTGTTTCACATTGATTGCGTAAGTTTGCGTAACAATAATTACTCCAAATTGCAATGACTTTAATGATAATCATTTTATTCTTTTTGTTTTTACAGCGTTATATATGGCATTCAAAAATCACTGGGCAATACTGCGGCCTATCAAGCGATCGGTAGTTAAGTTTTAATGTCACAAGCGTACAATACAAAGTTTATTTCGTTTGTTCAATAATTACTAGACGAAGTTTTTGTTTATAAAATTAGTAAATTATCCCATGTGATGCAAAAATACTAAATATGTACATATGTAAGTATTAATTTACAGTGAGAATGGAAGAGAAAAAGTATACGAATTTTTATATGAAAAAGAATGCATATTTTTATATTACACATTTTCAATGGTTTTGAAACTCTTTACATGTTCTTAAAGATCTAATCCAATCCCAAAAAGTCGCCGTATTTTTGTTCTGCTTAAAAGTTTGTCACAAATATGTAAATATGTAAATTAAATAAAGCAAGTCGTCATAAGTCATTTTTAGATTTGTTCGCAATGCATATTAGTACATATATCGCACACCTAGATCTAAAGTGTGATCGACTCTAAGAACAATTGGGCGATTCTTTTGCATAAATCAATTCATAGCACCTATGTACATCCAATTAATGGAAATATTTTTTCTTCATGAATATAAACATTAGCTAGAAAACTACTGTTATACCTGTTTTTGTATTAACTGCGTTGAATCTGTACGATCCAGAAGCAGTTAAATTTCCCTCTCTGAATTTTGAGTGAGCTCACTTTAAATCTAGATGTGCGATACATATGTATATTGTTACTCATTTTTAATAAAGAAAAAATAATAATACTAAAATACAAACTTTATTTTATCTACTATGTAAGTTATGCTTCTGTGGCATTTTCGTAATTAGCACATTATAATGTTGTAGCAGCACATGGGCCCAAACTAGCTGTTTAGTAAGCTGCGCCCGGCGGAGCGAAGCTGTTTGTTCCCCCACTGAATATGGCGGAGAGAAACATTAAATCGGCTGCGAAAATACCACGAAACTTTACTTCGCAGCAGCTTCACGGAAAAATAAAACGAGCTTTGTTCTCAGATTGGTAACGCTTCTGGAAAATCTTTTTGTGCAAACACTCTCATATAGTTATAGCACAGTTGCATGTGTGTAGGTACATTAAAGTCCAAAGAAGAGTTTTGTTTCTCTTAGTTGAGTTCGACAGTTTTTTTCCGCAGCTGATACTATTAATTTATTCCTTCCTCTCGTGAAATCCCGATAAGCATCTTCGTTTTCTACGTAAAATTTTCGGTCCAATATTATTTACAGTGAACCAGTTGTTAACACTTGCGCTCTGCTCGGGGTCGTCATCATAACTTGTTTGCGCCGTTGCGGCCGTAATACATATAACAGGGGAGCGTTACTCTTGTCTTGGGCTTATCAAAAAGTTTCTGGGTGGTTCTGACGGTGGGTTGTACGTACCGGAATGACTTGGGTTTTACCCGACCAAGGGCGGTTGTTTTGGCAATCTAACCCCGCTTAGATCGGCAAAATCCTTCAAACGTCGCTCGCATATGGGGCTACATCTGCTCCGTATTCTTCTGCTCAGGGCTGTCATTGAGTCAAACCATGAGCCAGAGGCATCACCTGCTGCGTGTGCTAGAGACGATTGCAACACTTGAGACGGGTTGAGTTATCGGCGTTAAGCACGCGCCGGCAGTGGACCACGTTGTTTGTGGCCCCATGCTGTGTGAACCGGACCGCCTCCACGGTACACCGGAGCTCGCCTGAGAAGCACAACACTAACACACCCACACCCCAACACAACACAACAATAGACACTTATACGGACACAACCGCTCCTCCCCCCAACACCTTCACCGCTGGCAACTCCTACTCCCTCAAAAAATCTGCTCGGTGTGTCGGTCCAGAATATACCGTAATGTTATATCTGTCAATTGCTACTCGTGCCTTGGCTGGTGCCACTTTAGGGAATGTTCTGGACCCCGCAACACGCCAGATTAGACTTGTGACTACGTGGACCCCTGCTGTGCTGCCCAGTCGCAAACTTTCCCCGCGTCGGTGCCCACTACCACCACAAGGAAGCACCCTCCAAGTGATACCATTCCACTGTAACGGATTTTACAGCAAGACCGAAGAGATAACGTCTTCATGGGCCGGCTCAGAATATTAATAGCTGCGGTCCAAGAGACTAAGTTGCATAGCATGTCGAATGATCCTAGGGGAACACACTTTGATGAGCAGATGGACGATTCTACATATCAACGACGATGCAAGCGCTGATCTAATAAACCGCCCATATTCATCTCGATTGATGAACCTGCCGACTTTGCTTCAACGGAACACCGAAACTACATAAACTTTCCTAAAGCTGATTGCAACGGCTCCGTGAAAGTTACTGAAACACCTTCTCTGCCCTTCCCACACCAACCGACGTTCAGGTAGGTGAGCGTAAGTTCCGCAGGGTTGTCACTGTTGCTGCAGCTCGCTTCATTCCAGCCGAATGCATTTCAGATGCCCGTCCGAATTTTCCAGCCGAAGCGTCTTTTCTAGCCGATGAGCGTGACAACCTTCGTTAGGCCGATTCCAGAAATCCCCGCATCAGGGATCTCAATACGGATATTTGGCAACTTGGAAACGAACATACGCGGAAGATGTGGAAAGAGCATTTGAAGACTTGAAACTTCGCCTCTAATGACCAGAAAGCTGCACCAACTGCCAACACCCAGTGCACCTCTTGTTTTCACCAGCGGTGAAGTTCAGATAGCCATCGGTAAGGTGAAAGCATCCAAATCAATGATGTTGAAAAAATTTGGTCCTGCGGGAGTAGATTATTTAAACAAGGCCCTCAATCTGTCCATGCCCACCCTCATCATTCCGGACATCTGGATAGCAGGGAGGGTAGTCCCACTGCTTAAACCGTGGAAACCAGCCAACAAAGGAGAGTATTTTCGCCCGATATCCCTCCTTTCCCCGGTAGCGAAGACACTTGAGGCCCTTCTACTCCCGACGCCAGCGGGGCCTCAGCATGGGTTGAGTAAAGTGCGAAAAACTTTCAAAATCAGATAATGGAAAGACGTGCCTCAAGAGCCCTAATGTTATACAATAAAGGATCTATAACTTCCAATCCTGACGAGATCGAAGAAGGCGTAGCCGTATTTAAGATCAGCGTGCGAAAATCCAGTGATTGATATGAAACAAATAAGCACTTTTTACTGAATATGAGCTCTCTTTCCTATTTCATGTAAAATTTAGTGAATTAATGTATGTAACTTTAGAACTCTTGAGGCACGCGTCTCCGTTATCCGATTTTGAAATTGTTTCGCAGGGCGCATTTTTATGACCAAACGGACCTATCTAGGGGGAGTCTTGTTTTGTGATGCGATGAAAAAAATACCTTTGCTCCGAAGCCGCGTTATTTACAATATAAGTTTAAGCATACCTATAGATCTCTGTATACATACAATCATATGTACATATATGTACACATAAAAGGAAAATGTATTCTATGTATCAATATTTTTATTCGAGATTCAATTCTACTTAATTTAAATAAATATCACATTATTTTAAATACGCACATATGTATGTATGTACATACAAACAATCAATCAGTATGAGGTAGCATTTGGTAGTCGCATAGTTTACTTCAAGATTGATGCATAATGCTCCTTGTAGGAATACTTGAATCGCAATACAATGCTGTAAAATAATTTAAAAAAAATCAATGTAACAAATTATTACATCTGTCTGTTATTTAACAAATGTATTATGTATAACTAGAGCTACTCACATCAGAAATAAAAATGCAATCGCATATAGCGCCGCGCTTACAATGTTGAATAGTCCTGGATATGTTTTCAATGACTCCTTATAGATGACTGTGTAGAGAGGTGCCGCCAAGAATGGCGCAATCGATTGCAAGACATTTTTAATGGAAAATATTTTTCCTAGAATATGTTGAAATTGTTGATTTACAAATATAAATTATAGATAACTTATTATAGATATTTTATTCACTCACCCAAATCTGTTGGCGGTACTATATTTGATATAATGGTTCGACACATCGGTCCACCAACTGATTTCAAGGCACCCAAGGCGACAGCTAAATACAAATGCCAAGGCTCAGATGCCACTCCCCTTACAATGCTGCTTACAATTTCGCTAAGAAACGAAAGTAGTGCAAGTGTCACCACGGACATGCTGAAGACCTGCAAAGAGATTGAATTGACTTTTATTTAAATTATTGTATGTACTTAGCTTTTGTCCAGAAATGGATGCAATTTTTTTAAACAAAAAAAAATTTCTATCTACGCGCAAAGTGGTACAAAAGACATCCTAGGCCGCAGTGGCCCTTGTTTTGTTGCGCCCAATATATATATCCTAACTGATCATTTATCAACTTGTTAGCTATTAATCACGTTCTATTTTTACACGTAAAAGTACCTTGATTTTATCAATTTATGAATCGGTAAAATTTTAGATGTGAAGTTCGCTCGTTGGAGCGGAGAGGAGGAAGGTGGATGGTGGAAGGTGGAGAGTGAAACAACAGTTCGAATGAAACGCCAGATTTCTGTGGGTTGACTGGACGAAACATAACACAAGGCCGGCCCTGATTTGCCTCTAAACCGCAGCTGACTAGGGACGACGGAAACTCGTTCCAAAATACATCAGAGACACTAAAACTTATCCTTAGGTTCCTTAGACATACTTAGAGGGAGCATCCAACAATATCCGTCTAGGCGGAATATAGCAGTCTCCCAGCAAACTCCGTTCTTGGGCACAATGACGAAGGCCGAACTAATTCTATTCACCACAAAGAAGAAGATTCCTACATACTCTGATTGTACTTTCTATATTCTTGCAAGAAAAATCTAGGTGATAAGTGGGAGATTCGTCCATTTATTGCATAATGTTCGCTGGTTTGGTTAAAAGCCATTGAAACCAACTCCATATGAATCGGTTAATTACCAAAGCGAATAAGTCAACATATTTTCGATATGGCAAATTTGATGCAGTTGAACAGAGCTCCATTAAACGAACCGAAATTGTCATATCGAAAAAATACTGACTTATTCCCTATTAGATCATTTTAAATGTAACCATTGAATGTCATCTCTAACATGTAACCGATTGACAGTGTCACGTGCTTGGAGGACTGCGTCTGTGTAAGCAACGTGCGTTAGGGCATGGACGTTTTGCTACACAAAATAAAATATTCTCTCAAGAGTCCATGTATTCGTGAAAAATCTATTTACATCAGTCATACGCCTTCTCTACAGAAAAAAACTTCGACACAATGTTTCCAGGAAGAAAATAGCGGAAGCACACTGCTTTTACTGAACGCGTCGCACGATCTTATTTACGGACGCCTTAAAAATGAATTACGCCATTGGGGTGGGGCGTTTTCGACTGACCTCCAAATGGAAAAGTCTATTCGACTACCAGATTTTGACAGAACGAGCCTAAAAAAACGTGATGGTTTTCTCGGAAACGTTACTGTTTGTCATCAACCAAAGGTAGAGGGGTGCTAACTGATTGGGATTGAGCTAACATGTGAAGAGGTGGTTGATTGTGTGGTGTCCACATGCCGGCCACTCACTGGGACTATCGGAGTCAAGTCTGGATAGGTAGCTGTTAAGACGATTACCATATTCGGACCGTAACTTGACCGGAGTAGCGCGGGTCGCGTGGTAGTTGAAGCTCCGAGTCTGCGATAGATGGTGATTGGGTTCCGATCAGGACATCCATAGGACGGGAGTCGTGGTAGGTGGTGGCTGATTCCCACTGATTGATCACTCGTCGGTACGTCGTCGGGTCCAGTGGTTGGTCGACGTATGTTTGGACCACGTCCATATACTTGAAGGGGTGCCTTCTGACGTGCCTGGGAAAGGCTCTTCCTTAGCAGGGGTCTGTTGGGGTGCATACGCCAGTGGCATACCACCAGAAACTGCCTACTGAGAATTTTGTTATGCTCCTTACGGGAAGCATTTGGGCCTCACTGTGTAGTTGGTGCTCAGGCGACATCAGAAGGCATCGTTGTCGCTGTACGAAGTGCGGCATTCTGACAAGTCCAACTAGTACCCGGCGACCGAACAGACGCAACATAATTCAGAACCGGCCGGCCAATTGCCTTGTATGTTGCTAGCAACGTTTCTTTGTCTTTGCCCAAGGTATTGCCGGCGAGCGACTTAAGGACCCTGTTGCGCTTCTGTACTTTATTGACAATTGCAGTTGTGTGCTCGGAGCAGGCTATCGAAGGTAACCCTAAAATTTTCGGCTTGTTCACCGTCGGAATTGATGTGCCATCGACGTGAATGGCTGGTTAAACTAGCATGACCTCCTTGGTACAGGCGGGGAAGAGAGTCCCCGTTGCGTTGGAGAGAGGATAAGGCTCCTTGCAGTAAATAATCGAGAAAGTTCGGAGAGATAACCGTATATTTTCGTGCAGAGGTCATCAATTCCATTCCAAGACGCCAATGTCGAACATTCATCAGCGTGTGTGATCAGGGGAATTCCCTCCGGTGGCAGATGGAGCTTCAAGACATAGAAGTTAAACAGTAGGAGGGAGAGTACACCGCCTGGAACCCCTTTCTTAATTGTTCTAGGTCTTAAGCTTTGATCTCGGATAATTAATGGAATATCTCTGTTGTAAGAGAGGGTATTGTCCCTATCTAACTCCACTAGCTAGGTTTAAGAGAAATAAGTAATATTTTATATTCTCTTTTTAGCTTTCATATTAAATTATGACACTAATCAAATAACCAACGCATAAAATGAAGTTGTTATTTTGAGCAGAAAAATGCACATTTGGCTTTTGTCTTACCTTTCTCAATATCAAGAAACCAATCAGCGCTCCGAACATAGGCACCATATGACTAACGGTCTCGTAAAATGTGAAATCTCGCACAGTCCAATGGAATTTCTCGCGCACAAACAAATAAAATACCGTCATTGCGCCATCTGTAAAGTTTATAGAAATAAATAATTAAACAATTAGAAAAGTTCCAAAACAGCTGGGAATTTCACAACAATTTATATATGTAAGTATAGTCCATACATATGTATGTACATACATACATATATACAATTAGAATTTCCGATTGAAGATGATATCATTACAACTAACCGAGCACGAATATCGACAGGAACATAGTGCCAGTTACAAGCCAAATAATGCAGCGATCATAGAATGGCCTCGTCTTCAAGCAAGTGACCAGCATATCTTTTATGTGCACGTAACTGAAGAGTCCCGCCTTTTTAGATTTTCCCATGGCAGAAGTTTCTTCAGATGTTTGCTTTTCTGTTGTTGCCGCATTCAATGCGGGTTTTTCGTTAGCATCCTTCTTTGCCTTTTCGCAACCATTTAATTCTTGTTTCCGCCCGTTCTCTGGCTGGATCGTTTCTTTTAGCACATCGTCCGCTGAAATTTCAACTACTTTTCCTCTCGCATCTATTGCAAGCACACTTTTTCGCTTTTCGTTTGAATTTATTGCTTTACCGACATGGTCCATGGCTATATGTTCCACAGGTTTTCCATTGAGCGTAATACATTTGTTAGCATCGACGGCGACGACGTCTTCAACCCTGTGACTAAGATGTAAACTTTCCGGCACGCAGACAACAATAAAAATTGTTGTGCTACACATGAGTAAACCGGATATGAGGAAAGTTGTTGTGGTTCCTGTAGCGGCGTAGACAAAACTCGAAAGCAGCGAACCGGTCATTAGGCCAATGAAGAAGAATGCTTCCATGAAAATCATTCTAGGGGAAAATAAGATAAATAATATTTTATAAATCGATCTTATCAGTTGTATCCTATTAAAAACTATATATTTTAACTCTATACAATATGGAAGTCCTGTACTGTTCACATCTTTCGATATTTTTATTTACTTTAAATTTTAACCATTTCCGGTCTTTTCTGTAATTCCAACCCAATACCCAAAATAATAGTAAAAATTCCCTAAAACGCATTATACGGTCACTACAATTAAAAATAAGACGGAGAACACAAACAAATTTTGTAATGTTAACAATTTCTGAAAAAAAAATCGTAATTTAAAATTTTTTGTTAAAAAAGTTTATCTATAATAAAAGCATGGGTTTACAAAATCACGACCCCAGTATTTTTACGAAGAACACATTTTTGCGTTAGCGAACTTTGGCCGCACTTAAAAAAAATAACCCTCATCAGTCCATCTCCGGGTACGCAGACCGCACAGACAAGAAACGCCGTTTCTATAAACCATAGCGTATTATTAGTTGCGTTCCAGATGCTTCACGATATTCACGATTTGCAGGAACAGCTGTTTTCTCCATTAATAAACCTTATGGAAGGTAGTCACCTGGCACGACTTCCTGTAAAAACCTGTAAATCGTGAAGCATCTGGAACGCAACTATATTATAAAAGACGTGAAATGCATTAAGGTTGTAGTCAGGCTAAGAGATGGGCGCGTGATGGATTTTGGCTCACGTTTTCTAAAAAAATTTTGTATTATCTTCACGCACGCTTCTCACGAACATTTTTTGCATATCAATAGGATTTTGTTACAAAAGCTTTTCAAAACATGGATCAATGCTTTGAGTAAGCAATTGCTTCACGAAAGTCACGCGGGAGTATTTCGATCGTAATACCTAGTGTGACCAACTGTACGTAAATGACAAGTACAGTACGTAAATTTGTAGCTATGTACCGTGTACCGAAGCCAACCACAAATTCATGAAAATGTACGTAAATTGAATCGAAGAAATATCGTTGTATGTACGTAAATTTTATCGATAGGAGCGCCCAACATACATGCGTACATGCAAATTTTGACTAATAAAAACTAAAAATATTATAATGAATCAATTAAAAAATCGTCAAAATGACGATAAAATCCCAAACACTGGCAACCATTTGAGGCATAAAGTTGAAGTTTTTACGTTAAAAATGTCTGTGGATATCGACTAATAAACAGCAATAAAATCGTTTCCAAAATTTTTCTTTAAAATTTTGTGTTGCTACAATTTTTTGTGTACGTAAATGAGTTTTTGGAAAAGTGGTCACACGCGTAATACCTATTTGCTTTTTGCATTTTTTTTTGTTTATTTCCCTTATACTTTAAGCCACACAGCCTGTACGTATTCAATTTTATTTGACATTGACGACGTGACGCATTTGCCGGCGAACGCATGTTGTGTAACTTCACTTTAACTCCTAAGCCAAGTAATATTGCCACTAAAACTTTAGTTAAAAGCTTATCAGCAAGTTAAAAATACGCTGATGTTAAAATTACGTGATTGGCGGGAAAATTTTAATCACGCACGTTCATGCCATTCAAAATTTCAATCACGCACTGTCACAGATGTTACGTGATTTTCCATCAAGACCGCTAACGTTCAAGCGTGAAAAAGCGTGACACGTAGAAAATCACGTGCTTGACCTATCTGCAGTCAGGATAACAAACTCGTAGGAAAGATCATCTCGGCGGTCAGTGAAATACTACAATCTCCACCCAAAGCTGAGCTAGTTCTGTTAAAGAAGCGATTTTGGATGCACAATTTTCGCATGTTTCCATTCTGAACAGAAGTTGCGATTATCAGATCACGGAAGTTGACTTTGACTGCAACTTGGAAATCCATTTTCCCACCAGAAACGACTAGGAACGTAATAGCGTTCAAGGCCATGACGAGCTTCCGTTCTTCACACATTGTCCAAAAGATATTGGATTTGATGTCGTCTCTTATGATCGCATATAATTATCACTGTATGAGAAAGATAGACAGAATATATCCCACACTTCCTATTCAAGTGCTTCGGAGAAAGCGGGTCCAATTTTACGGGAACTTGGACAGCTCGGGGTAAATCCCATGAGAGAGTCCACAAGAATTCATCAGAAATTCAGGTTGGTTTAGAGGGATGCATTGAAACTTTTAGGTTTTGGAAGTTTTTTTTTTTTTTTTAATTTAAAACCCGTGATATTTATTAAACGATTAATTAAAAAAACCCGAAAACTCAAAGACTATCGATATTTCCAAGTCATCTCCCAGTTTGAGGGTATACCTCTTATCTGTTGTTTAAAAATTTTAACGAACCTGTAAGGTCTTGTCTTTGTGTCCGTAACATCAGATATAAAACAGAAAGCCGCTACAGAAAACACGCAATTGCCGCCCAAAATTGAGTGTGGCACCACGGCCAAAACGTAGTACCAAGGATTCACCGGTTGATAGACGGCTATTTGACAAATCACAGCAGCAATGAGGTAGGTGAAGGAGAAACCTATGGGAATAGTTAGTGTACGATTGCTTTGTGATTATATGTATGTATTTATGTTATGTATGTATGTATTTAAATAACGGTAATTTTAACAAAAATGCGCGTACATACATACCTATCATTGAAATGACCAACAACGGCTTACGGCCATAGTGATCCGACCATGAACCAATGAAAACGCCACACAACGCCGGCACAATACTCTCCAGCAAAGTGCGAATCATAAACAGATTTGCGACATATGGCTGCACTTCGGTTTCGATTTTCTATTACAGAAAGCAAGTGAAACGAAATTAAACAATTTGATAAATATTAACGTATTTACAAACACATATGAATATATACATACAGTGGTGGAAGATTTAATAGAAAATTTTTACCTGGAGAAGTTTTGACTATATTTCTTTTGTGTATTCGATGTTTGATATTTTTTTTTTATAAAAGTCTGTATATCAAGCAGCACATAAATTCACATTTCAAACTTTGTACAAAAATTATAAAAAATACCCCAAATGCTTCAAACTTTTCATTCATAATTTTTAGAAAAATTTTGTACCTGCAGTTTTGTAACCCATTAAATTTTAGTTGGTTTTTATATATTTTTTTTTGCCGACGCACACATTGTTTCGACTATATGGAGGCAGGTGGTCAATAGTTGAAATTTGGTAAAGATGGGATAATTGCCACGCCTTCCACTCTTGGGACGGAAACATTAAATTTGATCCGATTTCGATCAAATTTAGTTTGTCCTCTTTCTTTTATTATAAAAACTTAAATATAAAATATGGGAAAGATTGAATTACTATAACGTCTACACCTCCCAAAAAATATTCTCTTTTCTCCCAATGTCTGGCATAATTTTTCTATTGTTGGAAAAATTATTTTCGCGAAATTACGCAAAAAGAAGCTGAAAATCGAAAATTAAGAAAATCGAAAATTATTTATATTTGCAAAGTCGTGCGAAAAGATCCGATTATATATTCGAAAACTACATAAAACTTTCTAAAACATGCTTCTAATATCAAGACCTGGCGAACCGGTACTCACACTTTTTTACTATTTATCTTTAGCATTTACGTTTCCAAGTAAATTTTTTTATAAGAAAAATAGGAAAATACCAAATAAATGATTAATACCTTCACCCGAATATTCCACGACACATAAAGTATTGATTAGAGTTGGAAAAAAAAACACTTGCTTTAATGGGTTCAGCGTCCAAGGCAACTAAACTCGGTATCGCGCCGATTCCAGTATTTTTTTTTTTTTTTTTTGGAAATGGACCGTTCGTGGAGAAGGGGGTTGAGTAAATGATATGAACTTTTGTATTTATGACTCTGATTTTTCCATCCCTAAACCCAACTGGTTTATTTCATCAACTGTTACCATGATCTTTTTCCAACTGCAAACCCAAAATTGTTCTTAAAATTCTGAATAAAAAGTTTGTGGTTTTTAGGGATTTTGTTAAAATTTGATGAATCTTTATAATTTTTGTAAAAAAGTTTGAAATGTGGAATTATATGCTGCTTGTTATATAAAGACTTTGTTATAGCTAGACTTGAAAAAAAAAATTAAACATCGAATACACAAAAGAAATATAGCCAAAACTGGACAAAATAAAAATATTCTATTATTTCTTCCACGACTGCAGGTATGTAAATATATAAATATGTGGGTATACCAATATGTATGTATGTATGTATGTATGCAAAAATATTTATACATATATGTATGTAAATATATATGAATACATGGTATTTTAACTTGATCAAACATATCGAGTAATTACAATTTTACATACATACATATCTGAGGCATTTTATTAAAACCACTTAAGTGACTTTAGATGGTTTGACTTTAAATTAATCATGTAAAGAAGTATAGGTTCGGGCGAAACCGAACTTTATATAACCGGCGCACGTACTAGATAATGAGCAAGAATGTTTTTTCTCGATTTCAAACAGTTTCGATAATATGCTATGATATCTTGAAGTAGTTATTGCACCAAGTTTGGTGGAAATCGATATACAATTCTGTTGTCAAAAGTGGGTGGTGCTACGTCCATTTTCCAAAAATCTGTAATCTGTAAAAATTGTTTCAGAATATTGTCGTTTTAAGCAACCATCTGATTTTTAGGGCAACCATCACCCCTGACAAAGCTTCAAAGAGCTGGGAAGGTGGCTTTTTTGCCTTACAAGAGTGTGACATTTGAAGAAACGAACACAAAATTCTCTCACCCTTTGCCTTTATTTTAGAACCGAACACGAAGAGAGAAAGGAGTAAGTAATCAAAAGGCAGCATTTTTTGGTAGAAACGGAGTCACCATAAGAAAAAAAAAATGGTTTTCAACTTTGGAATCTGTTTTCTCGTCTTTGAATTATCAAGCTGAAAATTGCAATACATATTTTTGTAGGAAACTAAACGCTCTAAAAAAAAAACATCTTGCATAATTTTTGATAAACCTTAATTTTATGTCATTATAACAGTCCTTCTCCTATTTTAGGTAAAATAATTAAAGCTATTTTCAACTATCCAAAAAAGAAGTCATTGAAAAAATGACATGCGAAAACTTATAAGCAAGGTGGTGAAAAACATATGTTCGCGAATAAATAAAAGAAAAAATTGGCTTTGTGATTTAGCTATTGAAAATTTAATAATTATTGCTAGCATACAATGAAAAAGAGAGTAAAGCTATTAAGCACAAGGTTGGTTATGGTTGCCGCATAAAATTTTTCATTCATACCATATTTTTCTCTAAAGTATACCAAAATGGATATATGTAAATGCAGCCACCCGAAATGTTTTAATTATGTTTGAATTGATGATGGGAAATTTAAAAAGTACATTTCGTCACCTGAAATGCAAAACGACGTAACAACATCGTAAATGAAATGGAAAAAGTCGTGACCAAGGTACATTGAACAGGTAGTATCAGTAGAGCAGCTGATTTGATTTATTTTCAAATTATTTGGTCTCGAAAATGTCAAATATTTTTAATTTTTTCTCACAAAAATTCTGAATTGTTAAAATCCATTTGCATGTGAAACCTTTTTCCATACAAAACAAGCGATTGAATAGCAGCTTTTGGAACGTTCGCCCAACTCAGCAGCACAACCGCTGATTACTGGGCCTTGCAAAGGATGGATCAATGCTTCGAGAAGCAAACAAATTTACTAGGAAAGAAAGTTGCATCAATTTTTATTTTTTCCAATTTCAATTTTTTATTTTTTATAATTTTTTGTATTTCACATGGCACGCTTTGATTTAGAAGAAAAAATTCAGAACAGTTTTTGACACTTTCAATACCAGAAGCAACAACAAAATACACGCAAATGTTGTTTTTGCTCTACTGATACTACCTGTTTAATGTGCCTTGGTCGTGACTAATATTTTTATTATTTTTTCATAAAATGTTCTGGGGAGTTGTAGTTCGATGAAATCCATCATATATGTAACTCAAGTAAAGTTAAAGTAAAGTAAAGTGAATTTTGAATTTTTTTTTTTTGGTTATGGCTTTTTGCATTTCAACGATGATGTTTGTTACGTCTTTTTGCATTTCAGGTAACGATTTGTAGCTTTTTGAAAATTTTGGGTTCAACCGCTGCCTGATTGGCCATCTGTTACCCCGCTCCAATCGTTTAAAGTATAAATTACGGTCCACTCTGGAGGAAGCTATGGCTTGCACTACTCGAACTGTTCAATATTTGAAACGCGTCCCTTGTCCGAGCCATTAAAACCTCCAAATACATGGAAATTGCGTACTGCAATCGTCGAACTGATTTGATCGCTGCTGAAAGTTAAATGAAGTTAAATGGAGGCTGTTCTATAATATAATATTTAGCCATTGCACATTAGGTCAAATGATAGACTTTTCTGTGCGAAATTAATAGCAGCTAAAATATTACATTATTTTAATGTAAAAAGATGGGAAACGTTAAAAATAGTGTAAAGGCAGTAAATAAAATGTGAAAACATGACTTTGGCTTTCGTAAAACAGACTGTTCTGCTCTTTTGTATGTTCAAATGATGAGTATATGTGTTTAAGTAGTACTCAAAAACATTGTCCAATTAGCTTGGTTTTGACACAACTTATTTTCCTAACATACTCATTCCCCTCCCCCTTAAAATGAGCTACATAATAAAATAAGTATGGTCACATGTACATATGTAAATGTTTTCTTCTTGAAATTCCTAAATTAAAAAAAAAAAAAAAATATTTACTACATTTCTCGCAGATATGCCTTGAGGAGAGTTTTCTAAACCAGTTAGTCGTCATAAAACACTTAATTTTCACTTGAGGATTCAGTATTCCCAAATTCTCCACCGATATTATTTATATTCAGAATACAAATGCTGCTTTGTGACACATTTACCAAAAATCGCTGGTAACTTCCTGAAAAGAATACGAATGTTTTTGAAAGCTCTATTCACTTTGAGTAACAATTTTCGAAATTTCAATCCGTAAATTCTCTCATTCAGCTATTTTTAGCGATAGAGAGGACAGAACCGCAATTTTTGGAGATAGCTAAAAATTCAGAAAAATTTTAGCTTTCGTAGTTTAGCATTTTAGCATTTTGGCATGCTTTCCATAATTTTCGTCTTTCTTTTATAAATTGCAAAAACGACGCGTTTTTTCTTCTAAGAGTTTCATGGAACTTTCGCAAATATCAGCAGCATGTGGTTCTCAGTTATAGTTTTGTTACCCATTTAAAATTTTCCTTTAATTATTCGAACCTTACAAAAAAAAAATGCACTTGAAACAAATACAAAAAAAAACCGGTTGCGCATACAACGAGTCAATAACGTTTCGAAAGTGTAACTTTGGTTTATTGCTGTCTAACGGTGTTTTTTATTTTACAAAAACAAAGTGAAGTTTATGTTATTTTGGTGTAATCCCTTCAGAATGGCAACAAAAAATAATGTAAAACTGCCCTTACGAAATTGGACTTTCGCACAGCCAAATGAATGAATCATTTGACCTAATGTGCACTGGGTCATTGTTAAATAGAAAAAAGTTGTGAAAAATATTCACTCGTTCACTCATTTTATTAGCCAAGTACCATAACATTTGGTAGTATCCAGTATATTATTTTCACCAGCAAGAGATTTAAGGGAGAGCTTCGCAAAATATTCCTACCTCAGAACCAATTCTTGGCTCTGAGAAAATAATTCCACTGAATTAGCTCACTTTCTCGATGAGCTACTGTACAACTGCCCGTCCGTCCTCGCTGTTGAGCTACGAGTTTAATGGCTATTATTTTGCTATTTTTACAGGAAAAGAATACCTGCATACAGGTTCATCAAATATAACAATAGGCAACATTAATGTTCATCCGAAACACTATTAAAAAGATGTTAACATTCAAAAAAAAAAAACGATATTTGTGAATTGACCTATTATTATTATTTTTTTTTTTTTTTTTGTTGGCTAGTGTAACTAAATAGTCCACGCACGATTAAGATTCCTTTCAATAAAAAAAAAAAATAAATAATGACGTGAAGTGAGTTTTTCGAATTTTAATTTACCATATCCTATAGCAAGCACAGACCAAATGTTATTTATATTTTTTATGAAATTTTTTTATTTAAATATTTACCGTCGCTTGTTCACTGGCGTTTTTTGTGCCTAATTCTTGGCAAATAGTCTCATTGTAATTGAATATCGTTGTACAGGCTTGATATATGATTTGATTGCGGAGAATCGTACCTTGGGAAGAAAGGAAATATGTATAATTAAAACAAAAGTACTTCGTTACTCAGCCACGATCGGATTTGGAAATAGTTCAAAAATATATTAAAAAGAGATATGTATGTTTTTTTGTATCACCAATTCTAATTACCGGATAGACTATGGGCAAACACCAACATAAACACAATCGGTTCTATGTAGTACATGTGGAAGATTTTGCCCCACTGCTGCAGCTTTATGCGCGCCATCATCGTGTTGGCCACTTTTTCCACCATTTTTGAATAAATAGTTATATACTTTTTTTTATCTGTCTTAATTAGTAGATGAATAGTTACTTTCGCCACACCACAAGAGTTTGTTTTCACTTTCGCGTCATTCGCCTTTCGGTGCTCCCGGATTCAAATTCAATTATTTAACTGTACATTCGAAATTAATTTCGTTCAATCCGTTCTATGCCTACCTAATGTAGCTTATGCGGCAATAAAATCACAAACACTAAAATTTATATTTTTTTTTTTTTAATTAATTTTTGATATACTATCTCCAGAAGCCTTCAATCAGCTAATTGTATTTAAAGTTTTTGATTTATGTAACACTTATTATTATTTTAACAATAAAACCGCACTTCAGTAACAGGTATTCGTTTCATAACCATGTAGTAGAATGCGTCCGACTCCAGTTAAAGTGTCACATAAAGTGGCAGATATTTAAGAAAATATCGAGAATAGGACCGCCTTTTCTGTTTACGCTTCGCTAGTTCGCTAGTGCTGGTTCTGCGAGCTAAGTAGTTATTTACATGCAGGCGGCTTTCTTTGCATTTTTTTCCTGTAAATGCTGTGTTGTGTTTATTGTCGTCGTTGCAAATGTGAGTTGTTGGCTGATCATCGACGCGCACACGCATCCACTTCAAGCCGGAATTAATTTGAAACTAACTTCATTGTTGCAGTTATCTGTGAAAAAATCGTCGCATGTGAAGTCGCTAGCTATACTTACTACGTTTCCATTCATACCTACATATCTACATACATACATATATGTATTTGCAAATAGGTAAATATAGGCGAGCGTGTGTGTAAATAATAAGGTACGAAAAATCAGGCTTACATATCGTCGTTTAACGTACAAAACCCGCTTATCAACAAAATGCAAAACGGTGTATAAATTATTTTCTTCTGTATAGTAAAAACACTCATATTTCAAAATGATTCTCTTTTTTTGTTAAGCAATCGCATTTCTGGATCGTAAATTTCAGGACGAATGAATAAGGTTTGAGCCAAGAGCTTCGGTGAGCAAATACAAATATTGGCAAAAAATTTCTGTTAAGCGGTTTTGCAGTACGACGATACGCGGTTTTGTACTTTAAACGACGATATGTAGATTCACACATGCATACATACATATCGGCCACCGTCTTCAAAAGAGTCACAACTCAAAATAATACGTTTGTCAGAAAATGCTAAACAATTATTTCTTAGCACATGATAATCATATGGGCAACGCCGACTTCACCTTGGTTTTTTTTTAAATGAATTATAATAAAAATTTGCTTCAGCTTTTGCTGAAAGCTAAATAAAAGCTCTGTGTATTTTTTTAGTACATAATTTCAAAAACGCAAAATTTTGAGTTGTGACTCTTTTGATGACGGCTGAGCGGCTGATATCGCGCTATCAAAAGCGATCTAGCAGCTGAGCATCCGAACAATTAATTTTGCTTTCATCTTTTTTGTTTTACTTCATAGAAGATTCAGGCGTGAAGCTAAAACCAGATACACGATCAACTGATTCCGCCATAGGTGCTTGTAAGCTCAGTTATGGTGGATTTTATCGTAGACAGTGTTTGTAGTTTTTTTGTATATTTGAGTAGTCCACTTGCAAAGTGCGCTATGTAAAATTTTTTCGATTTTTAGTTTTTGGTGGGTAACATACCAGTTATTAAAGTAGTTTCATGTCCACTAACAACCCAATGCAAAATCTTTTTTTATTCTGTTATGGTATGTTATATTTTAATATTATTAGGCTCATATTTATTTATTTATTTTTCCAGTTTGAAATCAAATTTATTTGAATGATTATACGAAATATAATTCGCACTGAGCATTTGAAAACACATTTACATACCTGTGGCTGTAGCTGAGTGTGCAGAGCTGTTTGCTGTTATTGGTTAGATCCCAGAAGGTCCCAGGCTCCAGCGCCGGTCAGACGCAATATATTAAAATGTGTAATACAAATTTTGGTTTTATGTTTCCAAAGTATAAAAAAGCATCTGGGAAGTGCAGAACGAAAGCGTATGCGAACGAAAAGAACGCTAGCAATAAACAGTTCTAAATTAGACAGACGATATCCAGTTCGTTCTGCATCCATTTTCCGATGTTCTATATTTTTAATGGAAGGTTTTCGTTTTCTTATCACATTTTCTGTGACTATTTTAGATTTTGCAAATTTGCGTATCACTGAATAAAAAATGGTCAAAAATAAAATAGGTCGTTCGACCTTTTCGAAAACGATGCCTTTTTAATTCTTCTTGCTTCTTGCATCAAAATATAATATTCTAGAAAAAGTGGACTTAGTAACTTTTCACTCTTCGCTACAAAAAGTACCACATTTCGCTGCTGTTGGGCCTGTGAGGATCTAGTTACTATCGTACTGGTTCGTTTTTGGCATGAGGATCTCTAGTACGGAACTAAAAATTTGGTGTTATAGTGTCGGGGTTTCCCTGCAGGGTATTTTTTTTTGTTTTAAACTTAGTTCGAGATCGTAGATAAATCCTTTATCAGTAACATGATCTATGTACATACTTTCATATCAGCATCCGCTCCATTAAACGCCGAGACGACCTTTTTACTTGTCTGTGTCTGGTTTGTATTTGCTAATTTTAAGTTTTTTTTT